CAAAGTCGCAACTCAAAGAGAAGGCGACTTATACCTTCCTTAAAGTCATTCAACACTGACTTGTGATTGAGTCTTTCAGACTAGAGTAACGGGAAAAAACACTCAATTTCCACCCCCGACTTGTACTGGACACCTCATCGATGCAAAAAGTGGCACATCTTTATGCATTGGAGAGGAAGCAGTGTCCAATTCTGGCACTGTTAAGGGGACTGTTAAGTCCAATTTCACGCGTCGACCGCGATGTAAATGCGCGCTAATAAGGGAATGAGAAGTAGCAGCATCTGCTAACACTGCAGGATCTTTAATTTAATCCCTGTACCAAATTACTTCATTAGTTGATCAAACATTAAGCCTTAATTTTTAGCCGTACTAGAGTAGTAGGCATTGACAATACAAAGATTATTTAAAATCAACCCCTTAAGGCGCTTATAAGTCCATAAAAATGCTCCCACTTGATTTTCAAACGCGTCAAATATCTCAACTTTTCCTCCCTTCCTGATCGGTTGATATTCCGCTTGGACAGTAACTCCATTGAATAAAAGATCAACTGTGTGACTGGGACCAACAAGAGGCTTTAAATTAGTTGTTACCCTCCCTTTAGTCACCGCGTGCTCATGTTCGTGCTTGCTGTGTCCTCATTCTATGACTCATGCATATAAATCGTTAAGTGAACCTGTTATGACGTCATAGTGTATTGAATATCTGTCCGGATGGTCGATAGGATCGATGCCATTCAAATTAACAAATTAACAAAATCACAGTGCTGGAATGTGACTGCCCAAAAATTGGCATAAAATCTGGGACTTTGGATTCACCTCCTTTATAATTCTAAGTACTTTCAAGGGCCTCACAGAATCTTTATCCTGATTGGCTAAAATGGCGGAAATTGATTATCCAATAGAATAAATAGAAACCGACCAATCAAAACAAAGGTGTCATAAGAAAGGTCAGGACCACCCATACATTATCGGGTTCTTTAGACATTCAATGATAAGTAACGTTGCATTGAGAGAATGCAAAGTTATAAGCTGACGTCTGGAACAGGGTTAAGTGGAGATGGATGTGGATATTGAAAACTGCTTTCTATGAATGTACTTGCTAACTGAAATTCGCCCACTCATTTTTTGCGTGTGTGTGCAAATGGCGGAGGAAAAAGCTAGGAGGTGGCGATTTTCCAACAGGGACCATAAAATTTATCAAAATGCAGTCTATAAAATAATTTGAGACCACTGCCCGCGACATAAAAAATTTCAACTTGATTGGAGTTTGCTTAAGCGCCCATTCCAGCACGATGGATTTTCCAATGAAATGTAAAATCCCAGCACGCATCTTTTTAAACTACAAGAATCCAAACTCCGCCTTCGCCAACGATGAAGAGGTCGCACGCACTGGTCTGTGACCCCACAAGTGTCAAATGTATGACGTTGGCACCTCATCAGCTTACGATTACTGACTGCCTCAATCTGCGCCGTTATAAAATTTATTTCAATGGCAATGGAAAAGTGGCTGTTGTGTAATGTTTTTGACCTGAGGAGGAAAATCACATCTGTCAAACAGGCTACTGACAGATGTGGCATTTAAACTTAACCATCAAATCACCTGTTAGGTAGTGATTGACTGATTTTGCCTCTAAAATTCTACAGGCCAACCAGTCAGCAGTCTATGTGCTCTTTTCCTGTAAAACTAATGGCAGGTTTGCAACTAACACTTTTCCACCATAGTAAAGCAATGCCTTCTTTCTTTTGCAATCACCCATTGATAACATTCAGTGCAATTTTATTTAGGAAAAAATAACAAAATGAGAACCCATGTTGCTCTATTTTTTGTGAACGCTTAACTTGTAGCAAAATTGTACAAAACTAACTCGAATGAGGAGGTCATCAAACCTATAACTTGTTAAAGTGAACCCTACGGATAATAATAATGATCAATCAAGTGAAAATAGTCTTAGCTGACCCTTTAAACGATCGTCATTTGTGCAGATTATTTTAGAGGAAAAATAATTATCTGACAACTTGAGATGTAGGTGTGAGAGAGAGATAGTGAGATAGTGTTGGACTTACCAAGGCTAACCGCATTTCTATCAGTTAAAAAAAATTATTATCCAGAAAAGAGGCATCCTATGGGCAATTTTTATCCACTGTTGGCATTGCCATCGGTCATCACAATAGTCCACCACGAGAAGGCAACATCGTCATTGTGGTGCACGCAAACCCCACGTATCCACTGTGGCGTCTTCATGTCGTTCGAGGCTCGAAATGCTGCCACGTGATTGGTGGAAGCGGCAATGTTGGATCAGTTGGTCTAAACCAATCAGCTGCTCGCGTTCGCCTGCTTTGGCAACGTCCTTTCTGCTAAACGTGCATGGGTGCATGCGCACGTGTGCGTGCATGGGTGCTTGTGGGTACGAGGAGCTCCCTCGATGAAACACAGTTGATCCTGCTCAGCGGAGCCATCCAAAGCAACGTTTCCCTGCAGCATCTGCTGCTCTGTAGCCAGGTCTTTGCAAATGTTGACCATTGACACAATCACCTAGGTATATCGCGTACTATTCGCCTGGATAGTGGTAATGGTGTAATACAGATATTTAATTGTGTTGTCGCTACTTTCATTTTGCCAGCATATAATTTCTTCTTCTAAACAAGGGACAAGGTTTTGTTCCAATTTATACAGTATTTGGAAACGTTTTGAATTTTATTCTGGATGCTAAATTAAGGACAAAGTCAGTCCAAATGAATTATAAATCGTCTCTTTAAGGAAACGGCTTTGGTGGGATACACTTGGCTGTAAGATGTTGCCAACTCGGAGGAAATTCGATCACCCATCTCGATCAGATGAGTGAGATGATGGCATCAAATGGTGAGCCGAATACTAATGAAGGCCTTCAAGCTGTTTGCCCAAATCTTGACTCATGACCGTGATCAACCAAGGTGATCGGTTAAACGTCCAAGACGAATTTAAATGTCCTCATCTACATTACTTCAACGAGTTGGGCAGTTCTGCACTGGCAGTTGGGAGCCGCTGGAATGTGACCGTAATTGCAGCGAGGAATGGGTTTTTACCAAGTCAATGTTACCGAGTGGGGACCATGTTTACCGTGCTATCTCACAATTTCTATCTCTGTTTAAAGCGAGTACATCCTCGTCTCGACAACTCCTTGAAGTAAATTGCTCCGTTTGCTATTCTCAAATTCTCACCACTGCCTTGATGGTAAGCATGGAAAAATTGCTGCCGACAACGATTAGATTAAGCCACCATCATCTCGCTGTCCTTGTGTTTATTGAAGAGCAGTTTGGAGGATGAGAAGGAGAGCACCATTTGATCGTCCATCAGAGTCGGAAGACATCTAGCTTCTCCCCTTCAAACCGAATGGGATACCACATTTTGTGACTCATTGTTTTCCAATGATTGGTCGTTGCCTTAATACATCAGCCGCTTATTTCTGGTCTTTGGATGTCCCTCAACAATTGCATGTTATAAATCGCACTAAATAAGGCGGAATTAGACATTCGCTTCACCATTGCTCAACCCACATAAGCATTCAACCGATGCAGGTAACTGAAAGCAGGCAATTCGGCTCTACTATGGCTTCGGATCAGTGAATCTGTCAGTGCACAGTAGCTCAAGGCTTCACTACCACATGATTCAAACCTTCTCCGGGTTTTTTGACACTGTTCACGATAAAAATCGCTCTACCACACCGAGATTCGTGGCATAGGTTAACATTTATGCAACAGTTTTACACGTGCTTTCCACAGTTTTCCGGTGACTAATCCACATAATCCCATAATATATGGGTTAAAATTAGGCGGCAATAACTACAATGGAGTGATTTTATCTACGCGAATTCGAGGAACGATAGGCGGGTGGCACCAGAAGGGATGATGCGGAAAGGAAGGTTTCGCCTAAGATAATTTAGTAGCTGCTCTCACTCATACACAGTGTTGTGAGTAGTAGGCATAAACTGAAGATGAGTTCTTGCATTTTTTTTGTTTTGATTACTCTTGCTCTTTTGCAATCACACTGCGTTCAAGTACCATTAAGCAATGGTTGTCTTCAGCTCGACGTTTAATTGCCAATTGCATAGTGCATTATGTCTACAAGATAAGAATGTCTGGGTCCTTAAATGAGCGTGTCATGAATGCATCGCTACAGCTATATTTTTGCTCTTTGGTACTTGAAATCTGTCCGCCGATAGAACGCATCGTTACCCTAGGCTGCACAGGAAAACCGTTTACTCCTTTGTCTCCTTTTCTTGCTCTTCCTCTTCCCCTTCTCTAACTTTGACACAAAAAGACAAGCAAGAGGTAGCTGTCTTAGGGTTTGACCCAATGCTAGGTTGACTACTTCATTGGATGCATTACGGTTTAAACCTCAAAGAAAAAACGGTTACTTAAGCAAAGAGCATAAAAGCATTTACCTTCTTAAACGTTATTTGTTATGTGATAAAAATGCAGGCTGGGCAAATTTTGCATACGTTTAGTCACTTTAGCTAAAATGCGGCACGTGTTTTTGCCGACATTAAGTGTTCATGATCATAATCGTTTGACACACGTATGTGTGGCCTGTTTATATAATCTTGATTTTAAAAACAAACTGACAGTAGAATTATTAAATATATTCGTAATTTAGCATATTAGAATTCTCGCGATAAATTTATTATGTTTATTCGCGATTTCAATTGTTTATAAAAATCAATTTACAACCTTGATATTTGTTTTAATGGTTAGATGAGCATATCCATTTATAATGTCCGCGTTCATTTTGGAGTTCTACTTTGGGCTGGTGCCTCGCTCAATTTGCTCCTGCGGGATGTTGACGCGGTCATTGCATTGAGGTGCTTTTACTTAAATTGCATTTTGTCGCTTCCATCTCCTTTTCGCGCCTGGTCGAAACATTCCCAGCAGTAGTTTTAAATACCTCAGTCGACCACTCTCATCTGAGTCAGGTCTTTCAGTTGTGCTATAACCTCGACTCCCTATTGCCATTTACGACGCATAATGCCAAATCCACCAAAGCGAGCCAATTTTTGGAAACCGATTCCAAGTTCTGGAGATGATTCTTGGCACAATGAGAATCAGGACAATAGTGGTAGATTGTTCTCTGCCTCTGACTGCCTCTTTCCAGAGTTCTCTGCAAATAACCCTGCTCCCGCAACATCTGGTTGGCCAACTTTTGATCCAGGCAGTAATGATCCAGCCAAAAATTCGACGTTGGGCACCGCACTTGCGGATTTGTCTTTACCGTGGCCAGCAAGTGATAGGGTTTGTTCTTTGCGATGCTTTATGTGTTTTTTCAGCTTTGGAACTCTCCAGGACCATCGCTCACTGAGTGGCCACTGTCTTCCAACTTTATTTGGCAAAATGGTTATTCAGAAGATGATGTTAACGTCGGTGTCGACTCGTCGCTTCCTCACAATGAATCGAGTGGTGTGCCTCCAAGCTTGACACAGGATAAGGTCTTTCATCAAATCTGGTCCCAAAAATCGAAACAATCTGTTCCGGATGCAAATCCTAATCCTTGGGATAGCAACCAGCAGCACCTAGGTAAGTTGTTTAATGCGTAACTACCTACTCTAGTTGCTACCGCCGAGATTCTCACCGATTCCACGGAAACCCTCAACAGAGATTCCACCCAACAACTAGAAGATAACGATAGGCCCTCAAGTACTCAGGGAAAACAGGAACCCTTAGCTTCTGAAACCAATCGAGAGACTAATGCTGCTGTTATTCGCATCACTGAGCTTGTAAACGATCCGGGAAACTGGGGTACACGCCCAGTCAATCAGTCAGTTCCATGGAAGACCACACCTGAGGACGGGGATTTGCACAAATCCAAGCCTTCCTCAGCCTTGTTGAATTCCCACCAGCAGCATCAGGAGTCTAATGTGTGGACGAATGAACCCCCTACTGGAACAAATGTTTGGGAGTCGCATTATGAACAACTTGCTACTCGGAGTTCATGTTGGGCATCGCAGGGTCGTGAAACTCCCATCGCTGTTAACGCCTCTGTTAGTGATCCATTGCAACCATCAACATCTCAGCAGCACTCTCATCCACCGGCTATACCTTCAACTCTTCCACAGGCTGATCATGAAAGTGGCATTTGGGGTTCGACCTCCAGTATGTCCAATCCCAAGCTTCTTTCTTGCACTATCTCGGTTGGATCTAACATGTTTTCATCAACCTCCAGCTTTCCAGCTTCGTCCCTCCACTTCCTCGCATTTTGGTCCTCCTGGAGGCCTATTTCGACGTCCCATTTTCGGTGCAGGCGCAGCTGGCGGTTCTGCCAACCGTTTATCAGATGACTCGGGTGATATCGGAATGCCTTCTCGCGCTGCTTGGCCCACTATTTCCTCATCTCATTTGTTAAGCCAGGAGGACAACAGTTGGGCCACAGTACCTGGTCGGTGCGTCCCACCTACTGCTGTTCCTGGTCCAACCCCCTCTTCTGCTAGTTCTGCTGCTCCTTCCTTTTTCTCCACTGGCTGCAGCAGTGGGCTGGAGGAGACGGATCAACATCAGGAAGTTAATACAGGCGTTGTGAGTCTTAAAGTTTGAGTCCCCTCTCTTCCCCTTAATTAACGGCGCTTGATGGCTTCAGGCTTGTGTGCTTACCAGTCACATGATTATCCTTTGTTCTGTGACCTCGTTGCCCGCATATATGCACGTATGCGTTTTGTTTGCTAATGCGTGTTCGTTTGTGTGTTAATATGCGGGCGCTATGGGAGCTGGAGTCGTCCCCTGTCCGATTAGCTGGCAAAATTCATTAATTTCTTTGGCCGAACCGTATGTGTGAATTACGCTACAAACCCATGATATGTGTTGGATACAAGTCAGATCAAGCGTGTTAGCTCGTCGTTTGACCTATTACCTTACAGGTGATTTTCGGTCACTCGATAAATGCATAATCCAATATAATTCAACCAGCGAGCGACTTCGGTGTGTTGAGTTGTGATAATTTTGAACTTATCTATGTAAATACTCTTGTTTGAATAGATTGGTTTTTTTCCCAGTACTTAAGTAGTAGGCTAGCAGACCTGCTTAATCGTGTGAGTTGCTTGTTGCTACTTAAACTGTGGTATCAAACTATTTCCTACTACGAGTAGTTTTAAACTCCATTAAATTTCCTTGCTCTCAAAATCCGATATGCTTTTCAAGTAGAACTAGATCACTTGTCCTGATTACACGAAGGAACATCGGTGGGGTTGTCAGTCTTTGCGAGTGACGTGCAGCTAGTTGATTTATGCACTACCATTATTGCGGTTATCTTGATGTTTGATAAATACAAATATTCAAATTAGTGATTGACTGTTCGAGGTATTCCTTTACTGTTTGCCGACGAGCTCTCGGCACTGATTTACGCTTACATGAATTCTCCTTAATGCAGTCCATGGCAGCCTACCGGAGTGACTTGGTGCGCTACTTCCTGCAACAGGGCTTCCGCCGCGAAGACGTGGAACCCGTCCTCGCGGAATGCAACATGGACATCGATAGATCATTAGCAGTGCTGCGACTGCGTTCTCGCAATGCTGTTGCGGGCAGCAGTGGAACCCCACGTTACCCCGGAAGTGTGGGAGGGCCGCGTCGTGTTCCTACCTCGCCCACTGCTACTGGACAGTTTGGGCACTTTTCCAACACGCAATCTACCTCAGCTGCTGCCGCCGCTAATGTTGCACCATTTGGACGTGGAATGCCGGTGAGTGCGCTTATGATTGATTCATTGTTATTAATGCTTTTGCCTTCTTCACGTCGCTGAGGCATTAACCTAAGATGGTAGAAGATTCTTCTCGAAGCTTAACACTCAATAGGAATTGCAACGTTGTAATTTCGTGGTGAAATAATCGTTATCGGTTATCATGTTCTGTTTTGTTTCTCCCCCGTTTTAAATATTGTTTGGGGCCGCCATTATTTACACAATCTTATCAGATGGATAACAAAGGGATCCCATTGAAGAAATCGTTCGCTTGTTTATTTCGGTAATTCAAACGCCTTCGCCGAAATTGGCTCAGGAACCAGGCGTATGATATAACTGCTGGTAGATCCGTGGTTTCGACTTGCTTGTTCTCTTTGGATGACACGGCCTTGCCTACCGACTCAGTTGCGAGGTGATTCATCGTGTCGGTGGATTTGATCTGTGACCTCATGCTATCGAGCTAGTTACTAGTTTAACCGAGGATTGCATAAGTTTTATGCGAATGGCTTCGTTGGTTCGGAGGTACTGACGGTTTATACGCGCAAATTTATCTTCTTGTAGAAAGTGTCACCATATGACCTCCCATCCAAAGAGAAGGTACAAATGTGGTTGATTGAACTTCTTTTGTAGATGCAGAGACCACTGATGGGCAACGGAGCCAATAGGATCATTTCAGGCGGCGTTGGCAGTAACAGGATTTCTGGTGCTGCAGGTGGTTCTAGTGGTGATAGTATCCTGGGCTCTTCCCTCTCCTCCCTTCTGGGCCTACCACCACCACAGCAACAGGAGAACGGCTTTTCTCCTATGCTTATGCGCGGCCGAAGTTATCAATGGCAACCTACCAACGCTCCTTCCACTAATTTCGCTTTCATCTCTTCAATCATGGAGCTACAGAGGAAGCGACAAGTAATGTCCTCCACTTATCTTTGACTCAATTTCTGTCGGCCGTCATTACTACTGTTCGATTTCATTAAGGACATCCAACGGCAAATCCAATTGTTCCGGGGTAATCCCAGTATGTGTTCTCTGCCAGGCGGCATGGCACTTCTAAACGAGTTGACCCTTCAGTTACACCAGATCGAGCATCAAATCAGCGCCAGAGAGGTGGCTGGTACGTTTGCATCCAGCTCCGCCCCTCCACAGCCGCCAGTTTCAGCCTTCTGGCCCAATCCCGAAGAAGCCAGATCCAACCCATCCTCTATCGCACAGCGCCTTCAGGACCTAAGAATCGGTACAAGTGCTTGCAACAGCAATACTAACGCAGCATCATCCACATCCAACAATCCTCGTGAGTTCTGCACTGGTATCATATCCACATGACGATTCAATTTCCTTACTTAAATCTAAACTTCACATGTGACTTGTTCTTTGGCAGCCTTGTTGTATGTGAAATACCTAAAAGTTCAATTGTTGTCCTAGCCTCTCCACGATCAGCATTCAGAGCCACCACTAACGGCTTCCGAAGCCCACGCCACAATAGTGGGACAGAAAACTTTCCAGGAAACGGAGGCAATCTGCCTTCAGGATGGCTTTTGATTCGAGGCGTGCCTCCTTCCATGCCCAGATCTACTCTGGAATCCTTCCTGGGTAATGGATTGTTGACACTGCATTCGCTCCCCACACGTGGCACATTTGTCGCTCGATTTGTTACACCTGAAGCCGCGATGGATGTTGGATTTCAACTCACTGCAACTGCGTCGAACTCTCCACCCTTTTTTGTCACTGTCATTGAGGAGCGACAGGCTTTCGATCTCATTGTGGAAGCACTTAACGCCGCGTCCAATGTTAGCGCTGTTTCTGCTGCCGCCGCTGCTGCCGCTGCCGCCGCCGCCGCCGCCGCCTCTGGTGGCACCAGTGGTGGAGGAGGTGGTGCCAGTGGTGCCAACTAGATTCTCTTTCGCCAAGTTTTACTCCAACCAAATAAGAGGGACGCATAAAATTGCCGTTTGGTCGATTGGATAATTGATTGATTGGTACAAGTTGATATCTGAGCGCTCCGCTTTCGTCGCCCGTCTGTCTGGATGCAAAAAATATCCAGATCGCCTCGACCAATGTCACATACTCAGCGTTTTGCTCACCACTCTCGTTCGTCGTATTCAATCTCGCGTTTTATATGTATATCTGCTCCTCTTCCTTTTCCTTGAAACCGTCCCTTCAAAAACACACACATACACATATTATATCTCTACCTTTATCTATATTATCCTTATGCATATTCATGGAAATCTTCCCTTCCCTGCTCTCCCTCTGCCTCGTCCAATCCATCTCCTTAATCATTCCTATTTGATATTCTCTCTGTCTCTCATATTCGTGCTGATGTTTACATTTTTTGCGTAGACGTATGAACTAGTCATTATTCAAACACTCACCCACTCACTCGCTACATTCATTCATTCATTTATCCATTTATTCAACAAGAGATATGAGATCGTGATCACGCGTCTGTTCACGTTGCCGTTTCATCTTCGTCGGTCCGGCCACCATCACCGAGCCCATCGCCACTGCCACCATCGTGGTTAAGGATGTGTGTGTTAAAGGTGTGCGCACGCACACGCATTGCCTACGTGTCAGCATTTGTTTGATGGTCGGAGGTAGCCATCTTTCCGTCCATCATCCATTCGATCGCATTTCCTGACCCCTCGTCTGATGGCTGTGCTTTCTTCCGCATCTCTACTAATTGCCTCGCACATTTCCTCCCTCCACTTCCTGTTATATGGGCTCCCTGTTGGAGCCTGTTTTCTCATGACTATTGCCGACGTCGTGGTCAGGTCTTTCAACTTGAGAGAGAGAGAGAGAGAGAAAAAAAGAAAACATAGCAAAAGAAAATGCAAACAAAAGGCAGTCAGACTATCAGCTTCTCAATTCATCCGTCCGTTTGCCTGCTCCCGTCCTCCCTCCTCTCCATCTTTGTGTCTTCGCATTTGTTGTGCCCTCGTCGTTGACGATAAGGATCCACGGACTCCGTCTTTCTAACCCCTTTGTAACCTTCCTTCTACAGTGTGTTAGTTGTGTACTAGGTCTAGATCTTTGAAAGTTGGGGATGGTGGTGGTGGCACCAGCGGTGGTGATGGTGATGAAGATGCTTCTCAGGCGTGTGATAGCACAGATCTCAATCATCCATTCGCGCACTGTGCCAATATCTCCG